CGGGGCTGACCCCAAAAACGATCCCGTCTGTGCTGCACTTTGTGTTGTTAATGGGGATATTTGGGCACGTTTGGGGACATTTGGGGATACCTGGAATGGGTCCAGGGAGTGTCATCCCCTCCAAGGACACTTTGGGTGCCCCCCCGAGCTGTGACACCCCAAAAAACCCGGCACCCCCAAATAAAACCCAAAAACGGGGCTGACCCCAAAAACGATCTCGTTGTGTGCTGCTTGGTGTTTAATGTGGGCAATAACGGGGACGTTTGGGGACACTGAAGGGGTTTTGGGGGACCCTGTGCCACCCCCCGAGCTGTGGCACCCCAAAAAACCCGGCACCCCCAAATAAAACCCCAAAAACGGGGCTGACCCCAAAAATGATCCCGTCTGTGCTGCTTGGTGTCAGAGTTCATGGGGATTTGGGGACATTTGGGGACACCTGGAATGGGTTGGGTTTAGGGGGACGCCTTCACCATCCCCGGGCACCTCTGGCACCCCAAAAAACCCGGCACCCCCAAATAAAACCCCAAAAACGGGGCTGACCCCAAAAATGATCCCGTTGTGTGCTGCTTGGTGTTTAATGTGGGCAATAACAGGGACGTTTGGGGACACTGAAGGGGTTTTGGGGGACCCTGTGCCACCCCCCGAGCTGTGGCACCCCAAAAAACGCGGCACCCCCAAATAAAAACCCAAAAAAAGCCGAAAAACGGGGCTGACCCCAAAAACTATCCCGTCTGTGCTGCACTTCGTGTTATTAATGGGGATTTGGCACATTTGGGGACATTTGGGGACGTTTGGGGACATTTGGGGACACCTGGAATTGTTTGGGTTTAGGGGGACGCCTTCACCATCCCCGGCCACCTCTGGCACCCCAAAAAACCCGGCACCCCCAAATAAAAACCCAAAAAAACACAAAAACGGGGCTGACCCCAAAAACGATTGGCTCCCGGTGTCAGAGTTCATGGGGATTTGGGGACATTTGGGGACATTTGGGGACATTGAGGAGACGCCTTTGCCATCCCTGGGCACCTGGGGCGCCCCAAAATAAAACCCCAAAACTGAGCTGGCGCCCCAAAAAATGTCCCCAAAGAGCCCCCAAAAAATGTCCCCTACAATGAGGCAAAATGGGGACACTGGGGGACATTGGGGACATCAAAGGGACACTGGGGTGGCACTGGGGACACCTTGGGGACACTGGGGTGGCACTGGGGACATCAAAGGGACATTGGGGTGGCACTGGGGACACCCTGGGGACACTGGGGTGGCACTGTGGGGACATTGGGGACACTCTGGGGACATCAAGGGGACACTGGGGACACTCTGGGGACACTGGGGTGGCACTGGGTACATCAAAGGGACATTGGGGTGGCACTGGGGGAACACTGGGGACGCTGGGGTGGCACTGTGGGGACATTGGGGACACTCTGGGGACATCAAGGGGACACTGGGGACACTCTGGGGACACTGGGGTGGCACTGGGGACATGAAAGGGACACTGGGGGGACATCAAGGGGACACCCTGGGGACACTTTGGGGACAGCAGGGGGGGTCCCGGGGGATGTCCCCAATTGTCCCCAAGGAGCCGGGGACAGCAGCGGTGACAACGCCAGCGTTTATTGCCATGGCACGGGGGGGTGGCACCCTGGGGACACCCCGGGGACACCTCGGGGACACCTCGGGGACACCTCGGGGACACCGTGGGGACACCCCGGGGACACCCCGGGGACACCTCGGGGACACCCTGGGGACACCCTGGAGACACCTCGGGGACATCGGTGTCACACGCAGGTGGCCTGGCCGTCCTCGCCGGGCTGGTGGCAGCCCCCTGGGGACGCGTTGGGGACATCGCGGGGACACCCTGGGGACACGTTGGGGACATCGCGGGGGTGGCCGCGGGTCCGGCGCAGCTCCAGCTCCAACCCCGAGAGGCGCCGCTCCTGCGGGGGACACGCGTGTCACCTGTGTCACCTGTGTGTCACCTGTGTCACCTGAATGTCACCTGAATGTCACCTGTGTGTCACCTGAATGTCACCTGTGTCACCCCTGTCACCTAAGTGTCACCTGTGTCACCTAAGTGTCACCTGTGTCACCTGTGCCACCTCAATGTCACCTGTGTCACTCTGTGTCACCCTGTGTCACCTGAGTGTCCCCAGTGTCCCCAGTATCCCCAGTATCCCCAGTATCCCCAGTGTCCCCAGTATCCCCAATGTCCCCAATGTCCCCAATGTCCCCACTGTCCCCAGTGTCCCCAGTGTCCCCAGTGTCCCCAGTGTCCCCTGTCCCTCTCACCATCTCCCTCTCTCTCTCTTCGCTGTTCTTCAGCCGCTCCAAATCCTCCCGGCGGCTGCGCTCGGCCACGGCCAGTCTGGGGAGGGAGGGACTGGGATGGACTGGGAGGGAACTGGGAGGGA